AGAGTGGGGTAAGTAAATGAATTAGATTGATTTAACTATGACCTGCGCAGCATTTTATACGCAGTCGGAGACATTTTATGTATATTAGACCTACTCGCAGAAACTTGTGCAACTCTCGTTTTTTTTAATTTGTGCGCGAATACTGTATCTGCGCGCGGGATGGTTCATTTTTGCGCGTGTGAGATAATATAATGTGCTCCTCGTGAGAATGTCTTACACGCTCACAACATTTGACATAAAAATGACGCCATACCTTAACCTCTGAGTGCCCGTTTCAGCCCGTTTCAGCCCGTTTCAGCCCGCTTTAGCCCGCTTTAGCCCGCTTTAGCCCGCTTCAGCCCGCCTCCCCTCTCTGTCCGCAGCTCTTCCTGTTCCAGCTGCTCAGAGGCCTGTCCTACTGCCACCGGAGGAAGGTCCTCCACCGGGACCTGAAGCCCCAGAACCTGCTCATCAACGAGCGGGGAGAGCTGAAGCTGGCCGACTTTGGTGAGTCCCCGTCAGGCAGGAGGGCCCTCAGGGAGTCCAGGGGGCCTCAGGGGCGCCTCGGGGTTAGGCCTGTCCCGATCCGATATCTGGTCGGATCGGCCGCAGATATTTGCAATATAAATATATATGTATATGAAAAATATATGGATATTTTTTTAAAAGTTGGATCGGGAGTCTGGATCTGCATTTTCTCCTGCCGGCCGATGCGCATATATATATATAAAATAATCCATTTCCCTTTGCTGTGTTGTTCCCTAATATCCGGTCCGGTCGTTTTCCAACACACCCTTTAGCATTAGCATTAGCATCTCCTGACCTACTGGACTGTGTTAAGACGGCCATGTTCATTTGAAGCTATCGGTAAAAAGGTCAGTTGTGTGGGATTATTTTAAGACGAAAAAGAGAAAGAGGTGGATGTAAAACAGAGTTAATAGAGTATTTTCTATTCAGGTTGTTTTGTGTGTTTTGCTTTTTTAATACAGTTTACAATATTGTTTGCACTTTTTACTGTTCACTGATGCCATTTCCTTTTCTTATTTATATTGTGTCAATTTTGTGTTTATGCCTGAATAAACAGGTCAATGTCTCTTTACCAACCAGTGTGTGTTATTCAAACTCACCTAATTCAGCTGGCTAGTTGTTATCAGTAAATTCCTGTTCAACATGAGTCTGACAACAAGTAGATAAATAACTTTAAACTTTATTACATGCTCTGGTTGGCCGGGATCGGTATCGGATAGGAAGTTCAAAAAGCTGGACCGGGACATCCCTACTCAGAGTGTCCAGGGGGCCTCAGGGTTCCCAGGGGGCTTTTGGGTGGGTATTGTGTCTGTGATGTTTCCAGGATTTATTGTAACGAGTATCGGGGCCGTTTCAGGTTTGGCCCGAGCCAAGTCCATCCCCACGAAGACGTACTCCAACGAGGTGGTGACCCTGTGGTACCGACCGCCGGACATCCTGCTGGGCAGCACCGACTACTCCACCCACATAGACATGTGGTACTGGCCTCACCCCCCCATCGCTGTGTTAGGGTTGTCAAAAGTATCGATGCTCGAAAAAGTATCGATACTAAAATGTTGTATCCGGATACGATACTCATTTTCAAAAGTATCGATACCACAGATAAATATGTATAAATATGTATTTATTTACTTTGTTTATGATCATTAACAAGACTTTAGCCTTGCTAGCTGCGGCTAATGGCTAATAATAACATACATAACATATCCATATCCGCCCACATCCAAGTCGGCCATTTTGATTAGGTCACCAATAGGAAGATCCCAAGCAAGAAAGTCGTAATTGCTTCATGGCAATATAGACATTCATTTAAAAATAGTGAAATGAATCTTGCAAACACTGAATTAAACTCTATCCATAATATTATGTTAAAATAGTGGATGTTAAATAGGTTTGTACAATAAGTCCAAACAAGTTTAACCCAAAAAAAATGATTTCTTACTATTATGAAGGCTGGAGGGTTCGGGTCAGGGTCAGGGTTAGGGTCAGGGTTAGGGTTAGGGTTTGGGTCAGGTTCATGGCTATGGTCAGGGTTAGGGTCAGGGTTAGGGTTAGGGTCAGGGTTAGGGTTAGGGTCATAAATGTGGGCCACCAGTCACAATAACATCATTAACAGGTTAGTTTGAAATGAAAGGCACAAATCAGTTACATTTTGGGGTTTTTGTTTTTATCCTTGTGGTATCGAAAATGGTATCGAGTATTTTCCTGACTATCGGTATCGAGTTGAACATTTTAGTATCGTGACGACCCTACTGTGTGCTCAGTTGTTTTCCGTCTGCAGGGGCGTGGGGTGCATCTTCTACGAGATGGCCACCGGCCGGCCTCTGTTCCCCGGGTCCACCGTGGAGGAGGAGCTCCACTTCATCTTCAAGCTGCTGGGTGAGAGGCGGAGCCCGGCGGGCCCCTAATGGCCCCTATTGGTCCCCTAATGGCCCCTATTGGTCCCCTAATGGCCCCTATTGGTCCCCTGATGGCCCCTATTGGTCCCCGTGGCGCCCGGCCGATCGCTGATTCTTGTGTTTCTGTTCAGGCACGCCCACCGAGCAGAGCTGGCCCGGAATCGGCTCCAACCAGGAGTTTGTGGCGTTTAACTACCCCCAGTACAGAGCGGAGACCCTGAGCAACCACACCCCCAGGTAAGAGGGCCGGAGTCTTCCCCCAGGCCCTGCTCTGGCCACCAGGGGCCATCGGTTACCAACAGGAGCCATGATGGCCATTAGGGGCCATTAACTCATTGGCTGCCAAAGACGTCTATAGACGTCAATTCAAATACAACCGTTGACTGCCAAAGACGTTTATAGACGTCTTTTATGTTTTTCAACGAGAGTGGCTGGGGGACGATCTGCTAAAGCTTGTCCGTAAATATCAGGCTTCTAGACAGAGTATGTAGTAACAAACTGACCCTCTAGGTGGCAGTGCCACTTTTGATGGGAGATGAGCATAGACTGTAGGCAAATAAGAAAAAGGTAACGGTTCGCTATGAGAGAACATGTCGCCGGTGAGACGCAAGTCGAGGAAGAACGGAATAAAGTAGAAGCAAATTTTTTTTTCCTGATGAAAGAAGAGAGTCTACTCTTTCTTTTGGTGTGTTCGGTGTTTACATAGTCATAGCACAAACTATTCTGTGGCTCTTGAAAAATCAGTCAAAATGCTCAAAAAACTCTGGCAGTATGGGACTCTGTTCTGAAAATGCCTGGCAGTCAATGAGTTAAAGGCCACCAGGGGTCATCGAAGCCCATTAAGGCCCACCAGGGCCCATTAGGGCCCATTAGGGGTTTGGGTTAGAGGCTGAAGGGACTTTGGAGACGTCCTCCTGAAGCTGGACTACAGCTTTGAGGAGCAGAAGTGGGAGGAACTGAATCGACCATGTTTATTCAGTAGCTCCACCGTCTGACTTTGTAAAACAGAATAGTTGATTTATGAATTAGTGTCTGTGTGTGTTTCAGGCTCAGCAGTGAAGGCGTGGAGCTGTTGGCAAAGTTCCTCCAGGTCAGTAAACCTCTGAGTTTATCAGGTGTTTCCAACAATACTGACACTTACGCTGTGGTTCTCCTTTAGTTTGAAGGGAAGAAGAGGATCTCAGCAGAGGAATCGATGAAACACTCCTACTTCAGTTCGTTTGGAACCAGAGTGGCATCGCTTCCTGACAGTAGGTGTAAACCCCCACGCCCCCGTTCTAACCCTAACCCTGTCCTAGCACACTGTGACTCTGATTTCACCTTCCAGCAACTTCCATCTTCAGCCTGCCCGAGATTCAACTGGAGAAAGAGACCATGAGGAAGACGGCAACACCAGACCCAGGTAACACCCAACATCACAGGGAGATGATGACCCTAACCCTAACCCTAATCCTAACCCTAACCCTTATTAACTTAACGGACCCCTAAAACCGAGATAAAGCCCTCAAACCCAGAAAGCATTCTCACTTCTGTCAGGGCCTCCAGCAACCCTTTGGTGAGGCAATCAGACTGGTACCTAACCCTAACCCTAAACCTTTGGTAATGCTATCAGACTGGTACCTAACCCTAACCCTTTGGTAAAGCTATCAGA